TGCTGTCATGTTAAACTTATATTAAAGTTTTTCTTCATTACCCATTTAAGCCGTCTCCAGCCATCATTAGTCTCAAAGTGGGTTCCTCGTCATCGAATTTGACTAATAAATAGTAATGACTGAGTTAATCACATTTACATGTTTTTAAGACCTCAGGCTCCATTTAGCAAGAAAATAAATAATATAATAATAATAATAATAATTTATATATATATATATATAAACACACACACATACATGCACACAGTGTGACTCTGCTATTAATTTTAAAAACTTATGAGTGAAAGAAAAGACTCTATAATAATAAATGAAATGAATTTATGAGATGTAGTTTACATGCCAGACTGAAGAATTTCCTCCAATGGATGACAGAGGTGACATCGCAGGAAAAAATAAGGTGCCTGGAACAGAATTTGGAAAGAATAGACCAATCAAATCAGTTGACAAACCCAACTTGTGAGGGTAAAAGGAGAAAGGTCATGTACAGATGAATGGTGCCAGGGAATACAAAAGTGGGAACAGGAACCACTAAAAGAGGCCATGCAGGCCATGTACCAATGAGGGGCATATACTGGACATAGAATTCTATCTGAATGAGACTTGGAATAAAGGTGGGAAATGGATGGAAGTAAAATACGCGAGAAGTAAGAATGTCCCTCATCAGCCCCCAAAGTTTTGGGTAGGAAAGATCGGCCCAGATAAAGTAAAACATATTTAGACTCAAAAAAAGTATGTGAAACGTCGATGGCAAATATATCAGACCAATGATGCCTACAGACTAAAAGAAGTAGAGATAATTATAGTATTTTGGCACTTGTGTATAAAGTTAAAATCATAAATAACATTCAATGTTAAACTGGTACACAGTTAAAACTGTGTACCAGTTTAACGTTGAATATTATTTATGATTTTAAGTAGGGATAAGTCTGAATAGATAGGTGAAACATGGAACAAGAGGATAAAATTCGAATGGAAGGCAGTGAAGTACAATATTGGCATTACAATCCAGAAGAACTTCACAACAAGGAGGTCTAAAAAACCAGAAGGAATGCAAAAGGTACCATTGGTCCAGTCCTGATGGAGAACATCCACTGCCAGGGTGCAAGGATGAGGAACCAGAGACCAGAAAGTTGCAAAAGCATCCAAGCAACCTGATAACTTGAGGGTTGAGAGACCACTCCATGGGATAAAACCTGAAAAACGCTCCGCCACAAGGTGAAAAGCACCCAGAACATGACACGCAAAGAGACTTATCCGCAGTGTGTGGGCCTAATAAAGGAGTTATAAAGTTCGACCACAAAGGAAACAGGAAATAGCTACCCATGTGAGAGGAAATAATGTACCGTATCGGAAACATGAGTTTAGGCTGGAGCCTCAAAATTAGTGAAACAGGAAATAGCTACCCATGTGAGAGGAAATAATGTACCGTATCGGAAACATGAGTTTAGGCTGGAGCCTCAAAATTAGTGGTGAGCAAAAAATTTGACATACAGAGGGCAGCACAAAATTGAGGAAAGCTAATAAGCGAGAAGAAGTAAGGCATCGAATTAGAAAATACATTTAATGAGCTATACTCATTTCATTACCATGTTATTTTGGATTTTGCTTTAAGTAGGTAGCTCAGCTCTGATTGAAAGGAGCTTATTAACTACCAGCAGACTGTTTATATAATCTGTCCTACCATTAACAAGAAAGCAGATGTTTCAGCTTACTTTCTATTAAATTTATCCCCCATCACAGATTCACTTGAAATTTAACTATACAGTTAAAACTAACAAGACCTATGAAAATATTCTGACATAACATGTAACATTACAAAAAACTTCATTATTTTTAACCTATTTAAAATTATCACCTACCTGTGTCTTCATCAATTGTGAAAGTTCTTTAGTTAGAACTGAAAACTTTATAAATGCACCACCTAGAAATAAGTAAAATAACTAGTCTACAAATGTCATAGAAACATGCATAAAATATTTTTTATTTTTATAAAGTATTTCCAATTAATGAATATACAAGTTAATTGCAATGAAATTTGTAAAATAAATAACAATGCCATAAATAATCTGTCTTTGTCCTTGAGTACAAACTGTTATTTGTTATAAAATACTTGCCATGTGTAAGCACATTCATGGTCACTTATTATTAAAATCACATTACATTATTGTCATCCCTAATGTCGCATTAAGTTCCCTCTAATAATAATCCCCTCTAAGATCAGATGACAAAATGTGGCAAGACACTTGAAAAAAATCTAAAACTGTTTTCCCAAGATCACACTGTCAGGTGAAATTGTTAATGATTACCCATTTCATACAATTAAACATGTTACTAAATACTGCTTTCAACAAAAATCAATGTTTTTAACTTTACTTTTATAAATTTAAATGCTTTATAAATAGTTAAGTAGTCAAAACTTGCCTCGGTAGTTTAGATCATTTGTAGTCTTTACCAAGTAAAACACTAGTTTTACTGTAGTAACTATGGTGACAGATTAAGAATTTATTACATCATTCAACAGTTTCAAAATATGCACAGAATTTAATTTCATTTTCTTAAATTTTAACATTATAAGGAAAAACAAAGATCTTACATATTTAAGCACTATTTTATATTTCTCATCAAAAATTAAATTTTATGCATGAAACACTTGTTAAAATATGATTCAACCTTTTATACATTTTCTAGCAGCTGTTATTACATAGAATAGTTTATAAAAGTATCACTTTTCTAGTCTCTTAATTTCTGATAATACAATAAATAGGTATATGATTTTACCAAAGAAAAAAATGTACATTCATTTGTTTAAATATGTTTTTTGTCACAGCTATAAACTAACTAAATGACTTACTACTCACACACAAAATACCATGCATTTAGCTTTATCTCTTTAGCTAATCTTATAACTTACCAATTTGTGGTTCGTTATCTTTTGTCATAGCACTGCTTCCCAACCTGTCTAAGGCTTTGGATAGAGAAACTTGATCATCTAAAAAAACTACAAAAAAATTGATAGAAGAAAATACAATAATTAGACACTACTTAGAGAAATCTATTATTTAGTATCTGTAGTGCATATTGATGTATAGAAGACATTTTAATATTAGAAATAAAAGACCTTAACTTTACACTATCAGTTACAGTTTATGTTTTAGTGGAACACTCCTGAAGAAGCTGTAAAGCAAAACAGTGAATGTCCAATTCGAGAAAAACAACAATGTGATATGATCAGGTTTTTTATTATTAGTACAGAGAAATTACATTTTATAACATCAAATGCAGTTAAAGAAATAAGTCTGGCTTGTGACACTAGTCATCTGGTTCTATATGCAAATTCTAATCTTAAGCTTTGTTTTTGATCATCCATAAATCTATTTAGTATTGTTTTAAGCACAGATTTTTAAAAATAATGAGATGTTATATGCACTTATTACAAAATATGAAATATTTGTTAATAATATTGTTTCTGATATACATATTTCTGTATCAAAATAAAAAAGGGAAAACTTATATCATAAAAAATATTAAATAATAAACAGATGTTTTAATGTTCACAACATTTTGGGCCAGAATGCCTTCTCATAATATTGAAGTTTAAAATCACCAGAGTAATGGGATTTTGTAGCAAAAAATTTTTTTTACCTTTCTTTTGTTTTCAATTTAATTGTATCATAGTGGTATTTGTAAGAATTTTTACTTATAGTCATGCTGAAAGAAAAACCTTTATCAAACAAAACCAGTTAATAAAACATGAACACTCAAGAAACAATGTTCTGAAGATACAACTTAGAAAATCCTCCACAATGACATAATATTCCAACAAAAGCTGGACTATTTAATCAATTACCTATGAGCAGTGATTATATTAATTAGTTTTGTAAACTAATCAGTGATTATTGGCAGGAAAACAAATCAGTTAATCAGGTTTTCCAATTATTTACTATTTTTGATTATTAAAACTATCCAAGTTACTGAAATATTGTCATTGTTTGTTATTAAGCACAAAGCTACATAATGGACAGGAGGGAGAAGGGGGATACCTTATGATTTCAGGATTTTTGGTTCAATTCCTATTTTCACTAAATTTGCTCAGCCTATTTTTGTTATTTATTACAAGTACTAAGGTTAAATGCTACTGTAACTAATTTTGAACTGCTGACCAGAGGAATGGCAATTGGCTGGTAGCACCCACCACCTCTTTGACTTCTTAAGTATAAAAGAAATTGTAAATTTCCTGCTTTTTTACTTTGTGTTAGCTTTCTACTTTATAATTGCATAACTGTATTCTTTAATGTTGTATAAGAAGGAGTAGACCTGTGGGAGGAGTCTAGAACCACATCCGTTTTTGTTCCAAAAACAAGTAACTGTATTTTATAATATTGTATAAGTAGGCATGCGTCTATTGGAGAAGTTCAGAGGGTCTAACCCTCACCTCACCCCTTCCATGTTTTTTTCAATAAGTTTATTATTTACTGATTATTTTACATATTTCTTTTCTTTTTTTCACAAAGTAAAATTAAAAATATGATCTGTGACAATGGCCTAATGTATTCTTTCACTTGCCGCACTCGCTGCTGTGGACTGCAGTTTCACCTACTCAAGGCTCATCAGGGAAAATTGCAGTCAACAGCAGAGAAGGTAGTGAAATAAAGAATACAATAGGCCTCTATGTCACAAACTGTATTTTCAATTTTACCTTTGGGGAAAAGAAATCTGTAATAAAATTATGAAATAGTTGGTCTGCTCTATAATACTGAATCAGGCACAAGTCCATTATATTATTCACACATGATGGTAGTAAGCCCAATAAAGAAGATCCAAAGTTCAAAAACAAAGGTACCTGGACCGAGTGTCCCATTGACGGGAAATGCAAGAAACCACCATGGAATTGTCAGAGTGAAACATGATCACTTTGCCCTTCAACAATTCCAGACCTTGAAACATTGTCTTTTGCACAGCAATAAGTTCTAAAGCAATGGTATGTAGGAAAGCCCCATCATTTGTCCATAGACCCTGGAATTCCTGACTGCTGATAAAAGCACCCCATTCCTGAAGAGAGGCATCCGTGATGTGGCAGATCTCTGGATGAAGTGGTGGCAGAGGAACATCTATTGTAGTATTGTTCTGACCTAACAACCACTCAAGATCAAAGATGTTGATCCTGAAAAAGGAGAAGTGGGAATCCAGAGGATTGCTGTTCATGATCCATTGGTTGCATAGAGACCACAGAAGGGATCTCATGTGTGCTCATTCTAAAGGAATGAGGGAATCGAGTGATACCCACATCACCAAAAGAGAATAAACCATCCAAGCAGTGGGAGAAGGAGACTCAAGTGAAAGTCAGGCTGCCTGTTCCATAGTGTGGAGCCAGATGGGAGTCAGCTGAGCCTGACAAAGACCCCCAGATGGACGATATATTGAGTTAGCGTGATAGTATATTTCTCAGCTCTGGTAAGAAATCCTGCCTTGGTTGCATCAGAAAGCAGAATCTGAATGTGACATTCTGCCAACTGACATGATGGTGCTTGTGGTAACCAGTCATCCATGTAGTGGTGTGTGCACAGGCCAAGGTAATGGAGATAACAAGAAAAAGTGTGTACAATGTGGTAGAACACATATGGTGCTGATGCTAGACCAAAGGGTAGAGCCCTGAACTGCAGCACCTGACCCCTGTGTACAAAATGCAGATAGTGGTGGGACGACTCCGCTATGAGAATGTGCAGATAGATGTCAGTGACATCAAACTTGGTCAACCACAGTCCTGGCAAAAAATGCCAATGCAGAGTAAGGAATGGCTCCATTTTGAATCTAGAAATTGATTTAGATTAGAAAGATCAATGACCAGATGCCAATCTCCCATCTTCTTGGGTACAACAAATGGATGAACAGGAATGACTCTCTCCACTGCTCTCTTGACCTATAAATCTCTGATAGCTATGGAACAAAGTTTCAAAACCTAAGGATCTCCAGGAGGCAGAAACAACACAGGTTGAAGGGATAATGGTGCTGTAGATGTGAACTGAACAGCTAATCCCAACACAAGTACCTGTAGTACCCATGGACTTGTGGTAAATATTTTCCACACATCCAGAAATTATCGGAGCCGAGCCCCCACAGACCCCAAAGGCATACAGTAGTCACTGCTACCACTGTCAGCATTCCAACCGAGCAGAGTAACTTTGTGGATAATGGCACAATCTATTCTGGGTACCATTGGCCCAGAGGGTCAAGAAACTCAGAGGCAAAACTACAACCCCCTGTAGAAGCCAAAAAAAGTCTAGAAACCAACAATGACGGGGATGAATGAAGATGGGCAACATCAACCCTTAATTCCAAAGACTCCGGAACACCAGCAAAAATCAAGGGTCGAAGAAAAGGTGCCTCTCGTAATTCACAAAGGGTAGTAGCAGATACACGATCACCCTCAAACAATGCATCTCTATCCAACAAATCCCAACAACATACCAGGCAAGAAACTAGGGTAAGTGCAGAAGCAGAGAAATGAACCAAGGTGGATGCTAACAATGGTTGCAACTCATCATCATACTGATTTGGTGATTGCTGACAGGCTTTGGAAAAAAAGGTGTAGGCATAATAAATATCTCAGCACTGTAGGTAGGGTCAGACAAATCCTAGAAAAGTGTGCTCTCATCAAGTTGACCACAGACTCCATTCTGGAACCCCCACATTTCCAGAAACAGGTCTAGTCTCCAAGAGTCCAAATATGCTTCCACATGGAAGCGGTAGGCTAAAGCATGTTGTTCTGACACACATGGTGAACAAGGCATAGCTGTCCCTTCACGTAATTAAGTAGTAAACCTCCCTGAATGAACCACAACATCAGGGTATGGAGGTAGAACTAAGTACTCATCCTCAGACATTTCTACCATCAAAAAAAAGCCAAGATTCAAAGACAACTGGGGAAAGGTCCAAAATACCACACACTTAATTTACTAATCTAAAAATGATCCAGCTGATCCAAATTGGTCTCAAGAGAAGCTGACAGAGCAAAGGATGATGCTGGAAAAAGCAAATAAAAATTCTGTCCAGTGTCCAGGGATGCCTGAAAATGCAGTCTCAGAACCTCCTAAGGAAATACCACCAGACTGAATGTCTCCATCTTACTACAGATAAGGTTATGTACAGCCTCAACCGAGAGTGATCCCACCCCCCAATTCATGAGCAACACTAGATATCACAGGCAAGATAGGATAAACTTGACTTGCCTCTGTGTTGCATACATTACTCCAGGAGTTCATGCTGTATATCGACCTTGGAGGAAAAGTATTTTTTTAAGTCAGCCAGTTATTATCATTATTAAGAAAATCAAACTAGGCAACACAAAGAACACGCAAATTATCTCCAACAGTCGTAGAACTGAGAAACCAATTAGTGAATGCTTTGTCAAGAAAAAGTGATAATATTATTAAACCAAGGTGCTCATACACAGTACCAAGATAGAAGGCACACTGACACAGGCGGAGAGTGTCACGAGACAGATATCATCAAAGGCAATTAACTCTATCATCCTGGGTATCCTTTACTGTGCATGACATAAGGTTTTAGGGTCTTACATTCAAAATTTTATTAAGCTGCTTTTTTGTTTCTGTTATATCGATTAGAATATCATAAAATCTTAGCTAATAATTCATATTTTAACAGTATACAAGTTTTAAGTTTTTAATTTTACAAGGCAATATTTAAAAAAAATCCTGAATTTTCACTAGTGTGATCCATGTGGCACATTTTCTCTTAGCATGTCATCATCCCTATTATATCTACCACCCCTCGAAAAATTATGAAATTAAAAGTAAAGTAATTTCTATAAAATCATAATTGCTCAGACAAACCATAATTTTTATCGTCTTCAATTTTGTTTGGTTACAGGGCTATCGAATAGAAAATCAGACCCCTCTTGCCACACCCACCTGTCACATCCTATCTTTCAGAATTTGTTGATAGTTCTCTCTTACGTTTCATTATATATTACCTATAACC